GAATGTTTCTAATGTTTGGTATATTATTTATACATTAAAAATGTAGTCAGTGGTGACACCGCATAGTTACAAAATACATAAGAAAAGAAAATCACTCGCAAAAGAATAGGCACATTATACCGAGAAACAAACAATAGTGAATGGGAGGAGTGGTAACTCGAGGGCAGCGTAGGCATGCCGCCTATATATATATATCTGACGGCTGAACAGAGAAGAATATAGACTACCCTCGTGCTTGAACAAAAGGCACTGAATTTGTCTACACACCCTCCTCCCACGAATCCTCGGTAAGCAAACTATGCGTAATAAAGATTGCTATTATAAACTTAGTGACATAAAAGTGGACGCATATGAGGTAAATCAGTGCAAAACATTCTATACACGCTCTAATGTTTTTAGGGACCTCGATCGCCGCTTGATTCCGCTACAACGTTACCGGCAGAGAGGCCCGGGGTGCATGAACGGATGCATACACAGGCGTGAACAAGCGTCCTCACACACGGCACGGAAAAGAAAGGAAGCGCCGAACGAGCAATGAAAGTGGACTATAAGTGCCTAACAGTGTGCAGCATAAGTAGTGACAATGTTCGACGTGACTATGTTACACTCCATGAATTTCGTGTACTAGTGTGTGTCACTCCCCGTGTAATTGGTGTACTAGTGTGTATCACTCCCCGTGTATTTAGTGTACTAGTATTTCAAAGTTCCGCACATCATGTGCGTGAACACATTGTACACTTCGGAAATCATAAATGCAAAGAGTAAGATTCTTTCTTATATCCTCTCATAATAATCAGCCGAAGAGAGAACAAAAGATCACGGATGTGATCGTTCATATAAACAAAAACGAAAGCCTGAATCTCCTAGAACATCATGGAGAGTAAGTAATTATTATATGAACTTCATTCCCTCTCATATATATATATATATATATATATATATATATATATATATATATATATATATATATATATGTATATATATATAATGAGAGAGAGAGAGAGGGAGAGAGAGAGAGAGAGAGAGAGAGAGAGAGAGAGAGAGAGAGAGAGAGAGAGAGAGAGAGAGAGAGAGAGAGAGAGAGAGGGGGGGGGGGTGAGAAAGTTAACGACACAGAAAAATACCGGTTAAATTTACCCCATAAATTTGCTTATTTTACTGCATCAGCTTCAGATTGAAGACAGGGTTTACATTGTTTTGGACTCTTATCTCAAAACAAGCATCAAAGGTTCTGTCAGAGAAAAGAAGAAAAGGCATGAGATTAAAGGTATCCGGCAAGAAGAAAATCCCAGTGGTAGGGCATCCTGCGTGATGCAGAAGATAAGAAAGAATTCTTTGATTTCTGTCAGAGAAGATTGGAAGCAGGGAATTTCCTTCTGGCAAAACCGTGGTGGTGACACAAGGAGGAAATGTTATCAGCAGAGGAAGTACCAGAAAACAAGCGGACTTGAGACTGTGAATGAGGGTCGCAGGGAAATGCTTTGTTAACAAATCAGGGTGCCCTCCTGCAGCACATTAATTGAACATTAATCCTTTAATCCTTGAACCATACTATACTTATTTGATAGTGATGGCATCTACTATGTCAACCTAATAATATTACGCTATCTTAGAATTATGTGTTTAAAATTATGAATTTACAATAATTTCAGTTAGTGTTGACACCACTCTTATATAGTTTTCGGCATTTTAGTATGATAACAGGACGATGATTCAGTTTAAAATTGAACAACGATTATGGTGAAAGAAAAGGTGCATTTTGTTTAATTACAGATTTACTTTGCATTGTCCGCTGGCAGAGGGACTTGAGAAAACAAAACGTATCTGAGTAAGGCAACCATAATCTGCATTGAAAATGTAATTTTCATTACGTCACTTATCAAAATTATCAAAAGCAGAACAAACGTTTTGTTGACTTTCTACATTTATCACGCCATTTTTCGATACATGTCACGTGAGAACATCAGCTGAGATTGATTTTGTGGAACATATAAAGAAATGTTGCTACAGAATCTGAGAAACATCTCCACAAAGTTTAGTGCTTTGTCCCCATCATTTTGCTTACAGCCCACACCGTCTGGAAAGTTAATATTCTCAAGACAAAACAAAAAAGAAGCGCATAAAACGCGAATATGATATGATTGCAACCAGTACAACCTTCTTCCTCAAGCCTTCTTTTCACATGGCCGAACCATGTGAGTCTTGCCTGTTCGATCTTGCTACTAATGCTTGTGACTCCTGCTTCAGCTAACTCCTCTTCGTTTGTTCTCTGCTCTCTTAGACTGATTCCCAACATCCACCTCAGCATTCTCATTTCCGTTCTCTGTAGCAGGCTTTCTTCTTTCTTTTTTAAGGCCCAAGAGTCTACTCCATACAATAACACAGGTCTTATCACAGTTTTGTACATTTTCGCCTTCGGCTTGGCTAGTAACTTTTGTCGCACATCATGACAGAAACCTCTCGCTGCCTTCACACAGTCTTTCACTGCTCTCTCACATCCTCCTTCACTTGCCATCATGCTGCCGAGATACTTGAATTCGTCAACTTGGTCATACTTTGCGCCGCTCTCCTCTTTGATGTTTATCTTTCTTCTTGCTCCTTTGCTACTTCTCATGACGACAGTCTTCTTCATGTTCACTTTTTGCCCTCGACCCTCGAGTGCCTTCTTCCACTTCCTGAGCTGTGCTTCCAAGTTCTTTTCACTCGTCGATGAAATGACCAAGACGTCGGCGAACAACATTTCCCAGAGCAATCCTCCTCCACACTCCTCACTCACCACGTCGATAATTATAATGAACAGGAGTGGACTCAGCCTTGATCCTTGGTGAGGGCCGACTTCCACTTCAAATTCTTCCGATATTCCCTGTAGCATTCTGACCATTGTGGTTACACTTTTGTAGGTATCCTTCACAATGTAGACACCAGTAGACCAGCTCTCTGGGCACCCTATCATATGCCTTTTCCAAGTCAACAAAGGCATGGTATAGGTTCTTGTTGCCTTCCAGATGTTTCTCTTGGAGCTGCCTGAGTATAAATACAGCATCAGTCATGCCTTTCCCCGGTCTAAAGCCAAACTGCATGTTTTCTATATCCACCACTTCTCGAATCTTCTGATCCAGGATCTTTTCCTCAACTTTCAAGAGGTGTTCCAAGAGCTTGATATCACGGTGGTTCCCACATTCTAATACAGTGGTTCCCAACCTTTTTTTCAGGTGACTCCAATTATGTTTTTCAAGATAGGACTGCGACCCCAATAATTTAGTTGCATATCTATGTGTTATTAAAACTATATATTACTAGTTGTCGGCTATAAAAGTAAGGAACGACACCTATTATGAGTATGTGTAAGAGAGATACTGTAAGGTTGTGAAAGACAAAAGTAACATAATTGAATTTTATTAGAACTTCAGCATTGTGAATTTTAAAGCCTGACATTAATCAAAACAACCACATCTAAAGTAATATTCTGTCACATTCCTCAAAAAATAAACTAAAAGGAGTACCTGTTTTCTATGAAATGATAAATGAATTTCAATGGGAGCCTTGGGCCTGGATCATATTGCTAAGTTTCTCTATTCGTGGTTCAGTCTTGGAAAGTGCTACCCTCAAATCATGTTCGGGTTGCAGTCGATTTCTATATCTTGTTTTGATGGCAGTCAGAGCTGCAAATCCCGATTCACACAAATAGGTGGTAGCGAAAGGCAACAACATTTCGCATCCAAGGACTGGTATTTTTCTTTACTAATCTTTACTAAGAGATCAACTAAATGGCTTAGATTTTTTATTATAATACGTTGTCTGGCTGTAGCCTCCAGTAGCTAGAGACAAGTTTGATACAGCATTGGCAGTCAGGACTACTACATTTGAATAATTATATAATACACAAGCAAAAATTCGCAATTATCCCTCAACTAATATGTGATTGTATATCCTAGAATTGAAAATTGACTGTTTTAAGTTCGAGGACTTGGCGACCCCAGGAAAAACGCTTGGCGACCCCAGGGTTGGGAACCACTGTTCTAATACATCGCCTACCTGTTTATACACTGGCACTAGTATACTTTTCCTCCAGTCTTCTGGGATGTTCTCTCCATTCCAAATCTTTTTAAAGATCTCGTGGGTCCACATCGCACCTTCACTCCCCAAGGCATCCAACATCTCTCCGATGTGCCTGCTGACTTGTTCTTCTTCATCTTCTTGAGGACGGCTGACACCTCCTGCAGGCTTACTTGCTGTATCGGACCTTCCACTGCTGGTAGTTCTATTAGCTCTTCCCATTTGTTCTCTACATTCAACAGGTGTTCAAAATATTCTCTCCATCTCCTTAGCACTTCTTCCTTCTCTGCCAGAATCCGTCCGTTCTCGCTCTTCACCACAGTCATTTTTGGGATGTCTCTCTTTGCTCTTGCACACTGCTTGGCCACTTTATAAATTCTCTTTTCTCCCTCTGATGTTTCCATCTCTGTGTACCAGTCTCGAACTGCTTCCTCTTTGGCTACTGCCACGGCCCTTTTTGTCTCTCTCTTTGCCACTTTGTACCGGTTCCTTTTCTCCAGGCTCTCCTTGTCATTCTGCCACACCTTGAAAGTTTTCTTCTTTTCCTTGATCTTCTCCCGCACCTCTTCTGTCTACCACCATGTTTCTCGTTCTCCTGCTCCTCTCCCACTTGTTCTTCCACACAGCTTTTCTGCCACTTCCACCGTTGCTTCCTTCAAGGCCTTCCGCATTTCGGTTGCTGTCTCTCTCTTCGCTCTCTTCAGTCTCTCTCCCACTTGCCTTCTGTATTCTCCTGCACATTCCTGTAGTTTCCACACCTTGATCTTCTGCAGCTTCTTTCCTGTTGTTTCTCCTTTCCTTTTCTTAGAGAACGTCCCATCCATAACCAGCAGTCTGTACTGGTGAGCAACTGCCTCACCGGGAATCACTTTTGCATCTCTCACGTTTTTACGGGTTCTCTTCCTCACCACTAGGAAGTCGATCTGGGAACTGCTATCTCCACTTCAGTATGTTGTTAGATGTTCATCTCTCTTCTTGAAGACCAGTTCCAAGGTCTCCAATGTCTCTAGCATTTTCTCTCCTTCCTCGTTTCTCAGGCCGTATCCAAAACCTCCATGACATGCTTCATAACCTCTTGCTGTTTCTCCTACATGACAGTTCAGATCAGCTCCTATGATGATATCTTCTTCCTCAGGGATCCCTCTAACAATCTGTGGAGCGTAACCACTCACGATGTTGATCAGACTCTTTCCTGCTAGCACCTTAATTGTCATCAACCTGTCTGAGGGCCTTTGGAATTCCACCACCCTTTGCTTGAGCAAAGGGTACCCGCTGCATATTTCTCACACCGTCCCGGGGCTGACGGTGCGCGTCGCCTGACAGCAACCCTCCTCCTTTCTCAACCTGGGCTTGGGACCGGCTATGGCGGAGATATATATACATTATATATATATATATATATATATATATATATATATATATATATATATATATATACACAATACACATATATGTATATGTATGTAAATATATGTATATATTATGTTTAACCCAATGCCAACGGGGAAAATTAATAGAAAGTGGGGAAAATGCCTCTGTACATAGATGTTGATTAGTAGACCTTGTGACCTTACCTGATTTGAATTGGCGGGAAAAATGTATTTTTTACTAGTGCTATGAATATCGATGGTGTTATTTTTATTATAAACATTATGATTTTTATAATGTTATAAACATTAGTAACAACAAAATAAGATAACGTAAAATATTTTCGTAAATCAAAGAAAAGGGTAAATGCGCGAGACAGGCAGTACTCGAAATTGGCTCACTGGTGACTTAGTAGAATTGTAGCCATCTATGTGTAAAAACAATCAAACAAGTAACTCACAGTGGGCATGACATACACGTATACGTCATGCCCGTCGGCATTGGTATATATATGTTTATATTTGCATATATATATGTATATGTATATATGTATATATATTACATATTTGCAAATGTATGTATGTATATGTATATATATATATATATATATATATATATATATATATATATATATATATGTATATATATATATATATATATATATATATATATATATATATATATATATATATATATATATATGTACATGTACATGTACATGTATATATGTGTGTGTGTGTGTGTGTGTGTATGTGTGTGTGTGTGTGTGTGTGTGTGTAAATATGTAAATGTCTCTCTCTCTCTCTCTCTCTCTCTCTCTCTCTCTCTCTCTCTCTCTCTCTCTCTCTCTATATATATATATATATATATATATATATATATATATATGTATATGCATATAGATATATATGTATATATATGTATATGTATATATATATATGTATATACATATAAATGTAAATATATATGTCTATATATATATATATATATATATATATATATACATATATATATATATATATATATATATATATATATATATATATATATATATATATATATATATATATATATATAATTTCCACGTTTTACATATTTCTTTATATGCATAAATGCTCTCATATATATCCATATTTATATTTCATATCTATATATTCATTTATATATATTCATATATTTGTTTTTCTTTACATGTATGTGTGTCGTAACTAGCTCTTAGCACGAATATTGTCAGAGGTTAGTTAACGTTAAAATTTGAAGGCTTCGATAATGCCTATCAAACTGGTCAGAGCATTGGAGATGCAGAGAAAAATCCAGGGCATGATTATTGTGCCCAGAGACCAAGCTACCCTGAATTTCCTGCAGGAAACAAAGGAGCTGGGAGGAAAATGTGTCTCTCACCACTGAATCCTGACGATAGGGAGTCAAGATGGTGCTACTTGGCTTCTCAATCACATCACACCCTCAGGTCGTGTAGGCTTCCCAAATGTCGAAAGGAAAGATTCCAACCTGGCAAGTCCTGGTGGCCCTGGTGTGTCGACGAGGCTGTCACAAGTGACCATTATGGCACTATAACTACTCTCATAGATGCTGGCCCAATCACTACCCTTAATCTGGGTAACTGGGGCACCTACAACTTAAGAATCTATGTGCCTGAGCCATGTCGGTGCTTTAAGTGCCAAAAATACGGTCACCACCATGCTGTATGGCCCATTGTGGACTATGCCTCTGTTGCTCTGATTGCCACAAGGAAAACATTTAAAGGCAAATTGGAGGCAGTTCAAAATGAAACTGCCAGGATCGTTCTGGATCCCCAAGGTGGACAAAAGTCCTCAACCTCCTCATGAAGGCAAACCTTCTCCCCCTGCACTCCCGAATCGATCTAATGGCAGCACAATTCCTTTCAAATGTCATTCAGGCTCCCATGAACACAAACCTAAGACAAAAAATACTCAAACGCCTAGAGCAAGACCACGAGCTCTTTGCAAACAGCTCCTGGCTGTCTCACACAGCTAAGGTGTTGATATGCTATCAACTCAAAGAACAGCTACTTGCCAAGAGAATGGACTCAAACCTTGATAAAGTTTTCTGTTATGAGCCTGTCAATGGGAAAGAATCAATACCCTAGTCTAAAGGCAGGAGCCGAGAGGGCCAATGCAGCTATCACTCCTCTAGGTAGTAGAACATACTTCACGGATGAATCAGTCGATCCCTTGAGCCACACTGCAGGCGACGGCTTTGCAGCAAGGGATGCCACAAAATTCATGAGGGTAACAGACAACGCATCCTCTTTGCTTCAGGCAGAGGCAGTTGCAATCATGGGAGCCCTAGCCCACACGTCCCTGAGGGAAGGACACATGATCATACATACAGATTCCAGGGCAGCCATCGACTGTCTTCAGCACAGTTCACCCAAAGACAACATCTACCTCCTGACCACTGTGCTTACCATAGCACAGAGAATTCTTGCTCAGGGTAGAAGAATCATTAATTGGGTCCCCAGCCACATTGGCATCAGAGGGAATGAGCTTGCTGACAAACAAACCGACATCCCATGATCATACAACCAAGCCGAAAAATCATGAAGGAGAAGTGCACTGCGACCGCTCCTACCTTCCTCCTGCAGCTTTACAGAAGGAAAACGAAATCCTCCCCCTCGCCCAGATGGTACTCAGATGCCACAGGCTATGAGCCACTCGCATTCTCTGAAGTAATCAACAGAGGTACCGAAGTCATTCTTCACAGAATCGGACTAGGTTACCACTATGCATGGCAGATCATAGAGACAATAGACCGTGAAGAAAGGTGCTGCCTGCATTGTGGCGAACCGAACGCCACCTTAGTATACTACTTACAGAATTGTGAGTACACAATTCCTGAGACAGGGACCCCCAACAACAGCCGCCGAGATGGTAAAGAGATTATGCGGTATGCTTACATCATGGCGGCAGGAGCGCCTGTTGGCAATCCCGCCACCACTGTAAGCACCGAGTGTCAGAGAACAAAATGAGACAGCCATAAAAAGCTGATACAGGCCGGGCCATATATAGAAGGCCCGGGCGAAGCTAGATCTTTTCAAATCTCAGTTGATTGACAAATTGTTCTATACCTCTCTACGCACGACGCTGTGGGAAGCATACCCTCTCTCTCTCTCTCTCTCTCTCTCTCTCTCTCTCTCTCTCTCTCTCTCTCTCTCTCTCTCTCTCTCTCTCTGTCTTTCTCTTTCTCTTTCTCTTTCTCTTTCTCTCTCTCTCTCTCTCTCTCTCTCACTCTCACTCTTACTCTCACTCTCACTCAGAACTGGTGACTGTCGTCTGTTAAGCTATGCTTTCGCGTATTATCGGAGAGTGTCACTCAGGCAAAAATGCTGTTCTCGGCCAAATGATAACCTCCGCCTCTTCAAACAATAGCGTCATGAACTCGGGACGTCCCTACTTTACCGGTAAAAGAGATGACAACACAAAGTAGTCAAAAAAAAATATCTTTATTTGCGAGTAGATGAAACCGAAACGACCGTTCGGAGTGTATCCGGAAAGGCCGGTATTTGTTAATTACAAAGCTCGGGACGGAAAAAAGCTTTATTAAGTGTTCGAATAGTGTATCAGAGCTGATATGCATTGGACCTCGTATCATGGTGATATTCACAATGGAAACCTCAAAGATCATTATATATATATTATATATATATATATAATTATATACATATATGTAAGTGTGTGTATGTATATATATATATATATATATATATATATATATATATATATATATATATATATATATATATATGTATATATATGTGTACATATATATATATATATATATATATATATATATATATATATATATATATATATATATAATATATATATAATTGCGCTTTACTCTGAGGGACTATCAAGAGCTGGAAATTAGGTATTTCGAAGCCAATCATGTTCCTGTGGATCCAGTAACACCAAGA